AACTGCCGGAGAGGTGGGAAAAATGTATAAATAGGAATGGACATTATTTTGAATAAAATATTTTTTATCATTTTCAAACAACAGACGTGTAATTTTTACAAAAAAATTCCGGTTTCAAACTTCTGCACCTGGTAAAAATTGTTTGTGCCATTCGTACACTTGAGTCTTCTTGAGCGTATTGTCCCCGAATTGTGCTTCAAGTCTTCTCAATATGTCCGACGGTTTTACGCCTTCTGCAGTGAGAAATTTAATAATAATTCGTTGTGCAACGGACGAGGGCACCTCCCGCTCTGACATTGTGATACTGATTAACGAAGCGCTAATGAGAAGTGCCGTAAGGGAGAATCTCCTTCAGGCGTCCCCACCTATAACGCTCAGAAGTCTGACCTCTCTCCGTTCGCCTCACTGCGGGTATAAAAATAATTCCAGTTTATATTTGATTCACCCTCGTATATATATATATATATATATATTTATTTATTTATTATATCATTAATAAAAAATATAAATAATTTTTTTATAAAAACTTAAATGCATCATTAAATTAAGCGGACTTATTTTTTCCACCGGATTTGAGTCAATTCATCCAAAACATTTATTTACAACAAAATAATTATATTTATAAATAATATTGCAATAACGAAATACTGGAATAACGAGCAAAAATTATAATATTTCTTAGAAATAAAGTGAAATTATGACTGGTAATCGTGAAACCAACATAATATTGCGTCCAGAAAATCGTCCATCTCGAAAAATTGACAAGACAAGTAACGTAAAAATAAAAGCAAGTTTTTATATAAGAAGGATACATCCTTTTTCCATATCGTTTCTGTTTGGTTTCCTTGAGAGACATGAAAAATAAAGACACTCTTACATTCCTGATATGACACTTTATTGTGACATTTGCAAATATGTTTTGTGAGAACAAAGAGAACTGATGACTTTTTGAAATACCGTGACGTCCATCCAGCCACGTTTTGCTGTCGTACAATCTATTTTTTTCTATTTCATAGATAAAAACGTAGTGAAATACGACATAGCGGATTGCATTACCTTAAAATCAGAAGTTATATCAATATAATATATCATTTAATTCATTGTAAATTTAAACGTACCGTGCTGTACGTGGCCATCGACATAACGCACATGTTTCCTGCTGTAAGCGTAGACGGGATAAAACTCCTATAAAGAAGTATCCTTAGTAGATTTTTGCTTCTTACTGAGAATGTGTACCATCGCGAGTTATATCTGAAATAAACACTTGAGTCCCGTGGTATATTATAATAGTTATTCGTTTTTTGGATTCTTCGGGAACTGTTGAGAATCGTTCGAGACTATAAGCAGTAAACTCGAGTAAGATTGAATTGACTAACAAACCACCCCCCTTCAATGGCAGTCGAAATATTGAGAAATATCTGATTTTCTTACACACAATTGGGAAAACTGAATATAAATTATACTGTAGAACGGAGATAAAATTGCAAGCATAATTTTAATCCTTACGCTTTCTTGAATACTTCGGTACTTTGGTCTATTAGCAATTGTCCAGGATAACATAAACACACAAGATGAAGCAACGTTGCAAAGACTACGCATGTGTATCTTATTATTTCCGTACCATGGCCGAACTTGTTGATGAGCTATATCGTTTTGCAAAAAGACAATATTGTAAAATACATATTTATATTTAGGACATATGCGTACGCACCACCGTCGAAAAATTTAGAAATGCAATTCGAGTATAATATAATATTAAACATTTTGTAAAATAAAAATTTGCAAGTATGACTATTAACAAAAAGAATCATACAAAAATCCACTTGCCGCTTTGAATCCTGTTTTCTTTCGATGATAGAAACAATAATTGTTGACAGTAACACATAAAAAATCAATCGTAAATAATTATACGTGGTTTTTCTATCAAAAATGTCTCAAACGATGTCCATTAAGGCGATGCTGGTTAGCGATGTCAATCGCGTTTTCATAATTCATATTTTTCTTCTAAAAGTATGCATAGAATTGCAAATGCTTTTACAGTGAAAGTACAGACGTTAACGAATTTTATAAAGCAAAAAGTTACAATGAAAACAACAAAAAATTGTTTATTTAATATTGAAAATACGGCACTGCGTTATATTTACGCTTCATGTAAAAAATTTATAGTTCATGTATGTAAAATGAATTTGGTGCGAAATTCTAATGACTTTCAGAAACATTATAAGGCCTTAATAGGATTTCAATGGATAGTTTAAATAAAAAAACGAATTATGAATAAGCGACATGCGTGTAGCGTTTTTACAGGTCGCATGGTAAAAAAGAGCTTATTTTTAGTTCAGGCTTGTCGCGGCAGATGGCATTGTATTTTAAGTTCAGCTTGGCGTACCGAGCGAGAGAAAAAGAAAATAAGAGCGAGAAAGAAGAAAATAATTCCTTCATTATCTCACATTGACTCGGCTGATGCGATCGAGGCCAGTGATGCGATATTTTTTCCGGTCTAGCTAACGTTATTCCCTTCTCTCCTTCTATGTATCAAAGACGCTTCGTAACAACGCGCCAGAAATGTCAAAAATCGACGTGTGAGGGCAAGAAGAAGACACACACAAAGCGCATGCCGTGTACGCGTCGGTCCGACGGTCGAGCGCTATCGACTAGAAGGAGACAAACTATTGAGGTATTACAGTGGTTCGACACACTTAGAGCAAAGATATAATTATATTGAGACATAATGGAGTCTGGATATAGAAGAATATCGTACAAGGATTCTCAGCCTATGTGACGAGACGCTGCCGCGGCGAGTCGAGAGCTCAGACTAACCTAAACTATGAAAAGCGCTACGATCGCTAGCGCTGCTCTATCTAACGCTGTTTTTCGAGAAACAGTGAGCGCATGAAAATACAAAAGAGAAGAGCGCGCGCGAGGTTTGAAAGTCATAGAAAATCAACATAGACATATACGACGTCATGACTATCTGTCTCTTACTCTCTCGGGCGAGTTTGCAGCGATACGATTCACTCAGAATGAGTCATATTGATAGCGCCCGACTGTCGGGCCGAATACATACATGGCACATACGCGCTTTGTGTGCGTTTTCCTTTCATGCGCCTGAAATTTTATGGCATCTGCTTGTAGGAAAATATTTATAAATACCAGCAGTGCAATCGTCATGTAGATGACTTTGAGAAGCTTTATAAGAGCATTATAAAAGGATTTCAATGAATTGTTTTGTTAAACAAAAAGAGGAAAGTACAAATAAGTGACAGGCGTGTAAAATGTTGCGAAAACGGTACATTACTGTTA